TCACCTTTAACGAAATGATGAATACAACTCATATAGCATATACTACTAGATGCACAAAATCGAGACGGGCACAGCCAAATAATCTACATAAAATTTTATCATCACTACTATCGTAAGATAATGTAGACGCCTCCTAAAGGAAAATTCAATTCATTTAATTTAATTGTGAATACAAAAAATTATTCAAAAACGCAAGATCGTGATATCAAATCAACTTTTCAAAGTTTCATAAGGTTATATTTTTCTTTGTTTAAACATGGCTTTCGTGTTTGTCTAAGCCCTTTTTCATATCTCACGCTATGGTTAAAAATAAGTATTAAAACTATAAGATTATATGGCATGAGAGAAAAAGGGGAAATGCAAAGTTTCGTCTAAATAAATGTCCTAGAGTACGTCTAAAACAAGCGGTTGATAAAAAATGACGTACATGAGGCAAGGGACCGGTTTGGTAGTCTCCGCTTCCTTAAGAATAGCCCCCAATTCCGACATCTCATAAGCCATCATATCCTGTTCCATGTCTCCTTCACAATCAGATTCGGTGATTGATTGATTGTTGTTCGCTCCTTCTTCCTTCAATGCACTCACACTTAAGTCTCTGGGCTCCCTCATCTCCGCCTCTTCTTTAGGTGTGGTCTCTCCACTTGCGGTATGTTCAGTTTGTTCTAGTCTATGCTCTTTCTTAAAATTAGAGAGAGGCCGAGAAGTTTGTCCATTGGCCTCAGTGACCGGTTTGTTAAAACACTCCGGCAAGTTGGAGTAGGGAGATCTGGTAGGCGAGGGAGCTGAACAAGTTGCTTCTAAAATTTCATACCGAACAAATATAAACGCATTGTTTATCTGGGATGCTAATAATTGTCATTTATATGAAAATAGGATGAATATAAGAACTCATAATTACTCGTAATTATATAGAATGACTCACAAGTAATGCATATAAATTTCTAATAATAGTGAATGAAAAAATTAATAATTGGCTAAATAAATAACTATAAAAAGAATTTTGTTTCCTTAAACTGAGATTGAGTGGAGTTATATCCTAATTAAGGTCCTTTCAGCTAGCACGCAGATGAGTCTGGATAGTAAGTGTATAAGTGATTTGCATTTAACGTTAGTTAAGATGTTATATTTTTCCACAATGAGATAAGTAGGCCTCCTGATGCCACTGAAATGGACTTAGCTTTGCCTGCCAAAAGATATATCATCCAGGATGGACTGCATACTTGACCTCGCTTACGTTTTATCAGAATCCCAGCTAGATTCGACATCAGGATTTGAATATCGAACGTTTTTATCCATTAGCTTTACTCCATAGCAAGGCCACGCGTGCCAATCATAGGCCAGACCTATCGAAAATAACATTTATCGTTTGATTGTCAATTAAACAAGCATATATGTATGCAGATGCCTGCCAGAGTCTGTGGTATATAAAGGAAGGAACGAGAAATACCATCGAGAAAGGAGGCTTGTTTAGGCTCGAATCTGGTGTCGACTCTCATATCACATTCATTTCAAGATCAATGTACGAATGCAAAAAAAGCAAACGCATGCGGTAACATTGCAGCATCGAATGTATAAGTTTTTCAGAGAAGGATGCAGCAGTCCGGTCACAAGTGCATCTGATTCACGCTTCATCTGCGGCCACTTCATATGTCACCCCCAGCCATTTAATTTAAATTTTCAACAAACATTTAGGCAAGGCATAGGATATATATAAAAATAAGACATGAGATGCCCTTAATTAAGTGGACCAAATTAGACTATAGGAAGTTGGTAGATGTAAAGTCGGCCACCTTTCTTGGCTTTGTATCCTGGTGAATTATCTTTAAGCATGGTCTCCTGCTCTGACGATGTCCGTCCCATAGCGGACGTAAACTGAGCAAGGATAGATCGGGGTCGTAGGGCGTCACAGATCTATTCGCAAAAATCTACAAGCACAACTCCAAGGCGATCCCTTTACAGATTCCGGTGGGGTCAAATTACGAATCACTTCCATTCGTTTCTTCAAGCAAAATGACTGGTACTCTAACATTAAGCAAACATGTATTTGCAATTGCAATCGATTCCACTTATTTATAAATGAGTAATTTTAGAGACTATCATAAATTTTTGAACAAGAGCATCTGCATTGTGAACCACTAGCACCAGTAGTCGTGTTATGGAGTGAAGTGCTAAAAGCTATGATACACAGACCCGGTATTGAATCGCGCTGAGGTTGCTGATGAGGCCATTGTGGAGTAGAAAATAGAGTCCATCCTGAATAAGAAATCCTTTTGGAGGACAATAATAAATCAAATGTAATGGTATTGCGAGGCCTACTCATATCATTATGGTAAAATTTCAACTACCATAACTTACTTTTAGCGATTCAGGGTGGCTAATCATTTATCTGGTAAAGGGTCTTCTAAAAGGCTTTTCAAGTTTCTCGTGACGTGTACATTTTAAAATTTTTCGCTTACCCTTATTCAGAGTAGCTAGCTTCCAAATTGTTTCCTCTTTTATTCTATAACTTTCCCCTCAAGACATGATCTCACAATTCTGCACATTTTCAATGCTTTATCAACTAAACTGACACATAATCCGTTTTAAGAGAAGCTTTGTGTTAAGGGATACAAGTTTTGAGTAGGTGGACTATTACACATCTGATGCTGAGATAATTTGAGCTAGTACATACTCCATTCGTTATTGACGGATACAGATTTTCTTATTAGGATAGTAAATAGGATGCAAAAATGAGTATTGATTTATCTATCATCAAATTGTAGAGCTAAATCCATAAAAGAAATAATTTTGGCATCGTATTTAAAAAATACCCCTATGCGAGAAGTATAATTCGTGTTATTATGAATCGAGATTGTACAATAACTGATGTGCTTAAGATCATGTTTTGAAATCTCATTTAAAATTGTTTGAACTCAGTGAACCACATGCACTAATGGAGGAATCAAGGAAAAACTCGGCCACTTCTATTTTATATAAAAATGCATTGCAATTCACCTAAGCTTGCAAAAAAAAAGAGTTAGGGCAAGCCCGAATGTATAAGTTTTTTGTTATAATTGGTAATAGCCCATAATAACTAAATAAAACAACAGAGAAAGAAGCCTGCCATACAGGGCAGTTACTATGACGCGCCAGGAAAGTGAGGCTATGAAAGATGTTGGCTAATAATCCGTCAAGCTTACTCGTCACAAGCTAAAGTAAGCTGGTCATAAGTTCAAAATTATATTCAGGCGTTGTGCATAGAATAATTAGAAGTAATTTAATAAGGTGATATTCAGCTTAAATCTGTGTATGTTTTATAACTAAAAGTACACCAAAATTAGTGACAGGTTTAGAATTTAATACGCTCGCATTAATCCTTAAAACAATAAACCACAGATTAATATTAACGAATAGCTAGTATAAATCCTATTAATTAGGCAAGTATAAACTAAAAGCATCAAGCAAGAAAAACAAATACAGAAGGCTATTGAGACAAGCAACAGAATACGTTATATGAGATGGTGGTCTCGAAACCCTACTTACATACGAAAGAATATGCTATAATTGTTAAGCTCACTTTCATTTCGAATAAGTGTACTGTAAAGTGATTTCAAAGTCAATCCCATTAGAAGACGACGGCGGAATCGTCTTTTCCAGCTGTTTGCTGGCTTTAATATAACATTTTTGCTGATGTCGTCTAAGAAACAATCTCCTTAGATTGCGAATAAAACAACCAATCTATAACTGGCTAAGAGGAATCCATCGTCATCTTCTGGTGGAATCGATCTTCATAGCACATACTTTCACTCAAAATGGAAGTGAGTTCAACAATTATGAACGATTATACTTCTCAAAACCTAACGCTTATTCTGAAATATGTCATGTAAAGAGAGTATAAATGGCAGTAGCAAATAATGATGATAAGAGGCGGATAAGAGCATGGTTAATGAAGAAAGAATTGAGAGAAATAGTGGAGAAACGCCCTAGACAACGGTATCAGTTAATAGCCAAACATAGGTATTTATTTTCGTGACATCTTAAAAATATTGAATGCCTAATAATAGTATATAGGCTTTTATGGCTTCTTATTATTTATTAAGTTAGCCAAGATACAATTAGAAAATTCGATTATCAATCAAATCAGTCATCATATTTCTATGAGTCAGTGAAGTCCAACTAGTATGGATGAAAACTAATAACACTCATACGTTTAATCGAATGCGTAAACATAAAGATGATGAGACCGGTGGTATGTTCTCGGTCTCCTTTCGTTGTATACAGGTGGTTTGACCTTGTTTTCAAAAATTGATTAGATTGTCAGGGGGCCTAGATGAACACACCTTGTCGGGAGACGACAGTATCTATGATAATTTTTAACGTCGAACCATGGATTTGGTACATTCCCGGACGTCTCCCCACCATCGTCAATGAGCCTTGCCAGTATTCGCACCACAGAACTCGTATAAATAGGTTAAGTCGATCCTTAATTTCCACTCTCATCAAAACTGTAGACTTAAGCCTAGAATAATGCGAAGTTTGATTATCAGAAGCTTAAGACTAACGAACATGGAGTTGAACAAAGTTATTCGAATCCGCGTTAGTAACAGGTACCCCTATGAAATCATTGAAAGAAATATGAGAGTCATAAAGGGT